GGGTTCAGGGCTTAGGTGAGGTGTTCAGGGCTTAGGTGAAGGGTTCAGGGCTTAGGTGAGGTGTTCAGGGCTTAGGTGAAGGGTTCAGGGCTTAGGTGAGGTGTTCAGGGCTTAGGTGAGGGTTCAGGGCTTAGGTGAGGTGTTCAGGGCTTAGGTGAAGGGTTCAGAGCTTAGGTGAGGTGTTCAGGGCTTAGGTGAAGGGTTCAGGGCTTAGCTGAGGGTTCAGGGCTTAGGTGAGGTGTTCAGGGCTTAGGTGAGGGTTCAGGGCTTAGGTGAGGTGTTCAGGGCTTAGGTGAGGGTTCAGGGCTTAGGTGAGGTGTTCAGGGCTCAGGTGAGGGTGCAGCACTTAGGTTGAGGGGTACAGGGCTCATGTGAGGTGTTCAGGACTAAGATGATGGGTTCAGGGCTCAGATGAGGGTGCGGGACACAGGTGAGGGTTCAAGCTCAGGGGAGGGTCGATGGTTCAGGTGAGGGTGCAGGGCCATTACTGTGTTGGCTCTTTTTAAATAAACAATCTATGGGAGCTCGTCATGGTGCACCCCAGTGGATGCAGGCCCCCGGGCTCTGTCACACTGACATACGCAATAGCATCCAGTCCTGTAGTGTGAGGGTGAAAGGGGGTGACAAGGTAGATACATTGTACAGCTCCTCTTTAGAGAAATTTGAATAGTGGGAGGGAAGAGGGAGAATGCTCAGAAGAAGGGGCTTTTGTTGTTTTGAAGAGTAAAGGAGATTTGTGCCTACCTGTAGGGGCCAGAGAAGGTGAAGGTGAGAGGTGGGCAGTGAGACCAAAAAAGGGGTACCACATTCCTAGAGAAGAGATGGGGTCAGAGCTGCTGGGGAAGTGCAGGAGCCTTGGGCTCACTCAGAAGACAGGCCAACCAGCAGGAACAATGACAGTGAACATTCATGGGGTCCCACTCTCTTATCACCTCATTTGATCTTGAGAAGGCCCCAAGGGGTGAGTGGGTGATGTTCATCCAATTTTGCAGGTGGAATTTTACCCAGAACATGGGGATTGTGAGGGAATTGAGGTTCTGAGCCTCAGCTGGGTGCACCGCCCAGCCCTCCCCATCCTACAGCCTCTTTCCTTGTCTGTAGAAGGGGACATACTGGGAACTGAATAGGGTAACAAAGACCTTTACTCCAATCCCTGGTTGTCTTTCTTGACCAGGACCTCCAGACTTCCCCCGACTTTGCTTAAGGATCTCCATGCATCACTTTGGCTTTTAGAGGCCTTTGGTGCAGCTTGAGAATGGAATGATTTGGAAGTGGGTTGTGGCTTTGTTTGCTGCTGTATTCTTGGCACGTTCCCCAATGCCAGGCTTGAAGTAGGTGATGAACAAATGAATCCCAGTGCCCTGGGGTGGCTGTGGCTATCAGGATCACATTCCCAGCCCGAGAGGCAGAATGTGTCTCATTCACAGCATTTCTCCTTGCCCCTTGTGTGTTTGGACAGATATTTCCAGGCCTGATTCTCTCAGATATAAAACCGGCCAAGAGGATGAAGTTCAAGACCGTCTGCTACCTGCTGGTGCAGCTCATGCACTGCCGGAAGATGTTCAAGGCCGAGATCCCCTTCTCCAACGTCATGACCTGTGAGGACGATGACAAGGTAGGAGTGGCAGGGAAGCCTGCTGCGCTGGAGCTGGACAGATTTCTGTCCTGTCCTCCCAATGTGGTCCCCATGCAGTGTGGCTAGAGCAGAATTCCCTGTTGACGTGGATAATCTTGTAAATGCTGCTTAGAGCTGAACTACTTTTTATTTCCTGCAAAAGTCATTACGGTGTACCTTTTTGCTCCTTGGCATTCTTTATATTTGTCCACAATGTATGTATTTATTTGTATTTATCTGTAACTTCAAGCTAAAATTCCCCACCTGCTGTCTAAATGGCCTCTGAGGATGTTCATTCTGGGCACATGTGCTGGGCCCTCGCTCCTTATGTGGACCTCACACTAAGCCTGGCCCTGCCCACCTGTTGTCCTCGTCTCCTGCATCCAAGCCTGTGCCTGATCTGCCTGTGCCTGTGTGGCTTTCCGGCTCCCTCTCTGTGCAGGAGCGCGCTGTCGCAGAGGGTCTTCCCCCGGCACTCTCAGTCAGCAGCCCAGCCGGGACGTCCAGTTGGGCAAAACACTGTCTTGTCAGCAGTCTCCACCTCTGACCTCCTGCCCGCAGCACCCGATTCCCCACCCCAGGACCCTGGGCTTCCCAGCTTTGCCCAGTTATGGAAAACATAGCTTTATGTCAGGTGCCATGGGCAGGGTGAGCCTGGAAGCCTGGACCTTTGCAGTTCCAGTGTCACCCCTTCATCTCCATCTGCCCCTGAGATGGGGCTCCCTACTGCTGTGCTGCTGCCTTGTGATGGGTGAAAGCAAGTCCGAAATGGGGAGGAGAATAGCATCTCCACTGCAGGAGCCATCAAAGGGTGGTGATGGGGGGCAGCAGGCGGCTGGTCTCTGCCAGGATGTCTGGTGGTTCCAGCAGGGTGTGTGCCAAAGACAAGAGGAGCAGGTGCAGCCTGGGTGCACACAGCAGCCCCCACCTGCTGCAGTCACCCTCTGCGGACATCCAGGCCTGTCACCACTGTCTTCTCACCCCTCTGCCACCCACATCTCCAGATGCAGCCCGAGCCTGCCAGCCTAAGCTTTTGATGGAGCCCAGCATTGGAGCTGGAATTAGGCATCAGGTGGGAGAGCGCATTGCACCATCTGTGACCTTGGCGCAGCTTTTGTGAGCAAACGTGTCCTGAGTTTAGAGGAACGGCTTACAAAGGCTCTTGGACAGACTGGGACCACCTCAAATTGTCCTCCTACTCAGGGTCCCTGTTCCCCAGCTGTGCTCATTCAGTGGTGTGGGAGCCAGGGCGGCGGGGACCAGCCTCTAGGTGGCAGTGTTGCACAAGGGCCCAGTCATGGCCTAGCTGGTGGGAGCTATTTAAGAAAATTATTCACATGTTGGGAAGCCGAGGAGGGTGGATCACGAGGTCAGGAGTTCAAGACTAGCCTAGCCAAGATGGCGAACCCTCATCTCTACTAAAAATACAAAAGTTAGCTGGTTACGGTGGCAGGTGCCTGTAATCCCAGCTACTCAGGAGGCTGAAGCAGGAGAATCGCTTGAACCTCGTGGGTGGACATTGCAGTGAGCCAAGATTGTACCACTGCATTCCAGCCTGGGCAACAGAGTGAGACTCTGTCTCAAAAAAAAATTTAAAAAAGGAAAAGAAAAAAATTATTCAATTACACTTGCTAAAACACAGTAAGATAGTCTGCGTTTTAAACACAGTGAGATAGTCTGCAGGATCATAGCTATAGCATAGGAACCACAGCAGTGGAGTCATGCCTTTGGGGAGAGAGGTTGGACTCAGCTCCTAACAGAAGGAGGGGAGTGAGGGTCAGTGGATGGAAAGTTTCTAAGAGGAAAAAAAGGGGTAAGGGGATGCTGGCCATCCAACCTAAATCAATTTTTGCTGGAGGCAGGCCCAGGTGCTCTAGCTCCCCTGGGGGCTGGTAGAAGGTGAGGAACATGATCAGATAGGAGGGTGATGGGATATTGAGGGTGGGGTGTTCTTGCTAAAACTGGATTTTATAAGTAAGTGCACCATTGGGCCTAGGAGAAGTTTCAGAGCCTGGCTTAAACTTGGTCAAGCAGAGAAACTGTGTCAGACCCCACACATCTAAGGCCTCTCCTGTAGGTTCAGATCCATCCCTCACTGAGTGGCCTGGACGTCCTCCTGGGGGTTTGGTCTCCCACCCTGCAATGGGGGTGACCATGCATGTAGCTTCAGGTCCTCCCAACTGCCACCATCACCAATGCGGCAAGGATGAACTCCTGCCGTCGGACTTTACCCCCCAGGGCATTCATGCAGGCTCGGTTTCTTCTCTCTGCACCCTCTCCTGATCGTAAACATAATTGGTTATGGAAAATATAGAGAAACACAAAAATGCACAAGGGAAGAAATGAAAAGCATTTATCTGGAATTTCACCATCCCACAAAAAAGCTATCATGAATATTTTGTTCCTTCCCATTTCTTAAGCGTGTGTGTCTGTGTATTTTTTAATAAACTCTACTGAATGATACACAGCCAGTTTGGTTGCTTGTTTTTTTTGTTTTGTTTTGTTTGTTTGTTTGTTTTTTTACTTGCCAATATATCATAAATATTTCCTTAGACTATTAAATGCTTGTGAAAAATATGATTTTTTTGTCCTTATTTTAAGTTCTGGGATACATGTGCAGAACATGTAGGTTTGTTACATAGGTATACAAGTGTCGTGGTGGTTTGCTGCACCCATCAACCTGTCATCTAGGTTTTAAGCCCCGCATGCATTAGGTATTTGTCCTGATTCTCTCTCTCCCTTTGCCCCCCACCCCCTGAACAAGCCCTGGTGTGTGATGTTTCCCTCCCTGTGTCCATGTGTTCTCATTGTTCAACTCCCACTTATGAGTGAGAACATGTGGTTTTCTGTTCCTGTGTTAGTTTGCTGAGGATGATGGTTTTCAGCTTCATCCATGCCCCTGCAAAGGACATGAACTCATTCTTTTTTATGGAGGCAAAAAATATTATTTTTAGAAATCATTATGTAGATTTCCTGTCTAAGTTAGAGAAACCATTTACTTAATCAACCTCCACTGATATTTAGGTTATTTCTGTTACGTTTAAATGAAGCAGATTGTGGACAGAGCTTTTGGTCATGAAAGTGAGTTTACTTCTCTGGCGGTTTTGTGTAATGGAATCCAGAGAGTCACGTGTCTGCCTGAATGTGTGCAGCCTGTTAGGGTTGTTATGCTCACTGGGCCCACCAGGTGGGGAACGTGTCATTGCCTGTCTGAGCCAGCGTGGGACACGTCTCTGTTCAGGTTTCCTAATACCTGGCAGCACAATTGTTCCCTCTAATAGGCACCCCCAGAAGCCTCCCAATTCGGTCTCTCTCTTTTTATTGAGTGCTGCTTTTGTCCTTCTCTTCACACTTAAATATTGAAGCTTGAATTAAAAAATAAAAGCTACATCCTTGAGGAATCGCCACACTGTCTTCCACAATGGTTCAACTAATTTACACTCCCACCAACAGTGTAAAAGAGTTTGTGTCCTTTGTAGGGACATGGTTGAATCTGGAAACCATCATTCTCAGCAAACTGACACAAGAACAGAAAATCGAACACCGCATATTCTCACTCATAGGCGGGTGTTGAACAGTGAGAACACATGGACACAGGGAGGGGAGCATCACACTCTGGAGTCTGTTGTGGGGGGAACAGAGGAGGGACAGTGGGGTGGTGGGGAGATTGGGGAGGGATAACATGGGGAGAAATGCCAGATACAGGTGATGAGGGGATGGACGCAGCAAACCACATTGCCATGTAGTACCTATGCAACAATCCTGCATGTTCTGCACATGTACCCCAGAACCTTAAGTGCAATAAAATATATATATATATATGTATAAGCAACATCCACACATGATACAAAAATTAAGTCCTCCAAGATGTTTGCTATTTTGTATTTCCTTCTAGAAAATCAATTTGGGTGTGCACCAGAGGTTAATGCAACTAGGAGTTTATCATTTTGTCTTACGTGTTCTTTTCATTAGGTGACAGACTTTAGAAATCCTGGAGGCACAGACAATTCCCAGTCATTTCTTTTTTTGAGACAGAGTCTTGCACTGTCACCCAGGCTGGAGTGCAGTGGTGCGATCTCAGCTCACTGCCATCTCTGCCTCCTGGGTTCAAGCAATTCTTCTGCCTCAGCCTCCTGAGTAGCTAGGACTACCGGCGTGCGCCACTGCGCCCAGCTAATTTTTTAGTATTTTTAGTAGAGACAGGGTTGCACCATGTTGACCAGGATAAATCCCAGTCATTTCTAAGTGACCGGATGGCCTCCTGCTGCAGGAGGGAGGGAGGGGTGTGACCTCACCACTGGCTTATTGGTTGGTGGGGACTTTATTTCTAGAGGTTGGTCTCGTGTCTACTGATGTCATGAACATCCTATTTTACAAATGTCTTAGCAAATCTTACGGGGATAGCCTGCGGCATTTCTTTGTAGTGGAATTGCTGGCTTAAATGGTCTGTTTTAATTTTGCATAGCTGTAGTCAAATCGTTCTCTTTCAAGCATTTCCTGTGCTCGCTCCGGCACCTGAGCCTTAGTTTCCTCAATGGAGTCAACACTGTGTTTTAGCCTGGTTTAAAAAATCACCAGTATGCTCCATGCAATGTCTTTTCTTCTCCGCTTCTGATCTACCTAGGGGCTCTCCTATCCCATCTCCTGGGCATTTTGTTTAAATATGGCTAGGAATTTTTTCAAAATATAACTTCTACCATGTCTATCTGAATTTAATGAAGATAAAATTTCAGCTTGTTTGGTCCACAGTTTTTGAAACTGATTGCAATAATGTTTTACTTAATTCTGTTGCATTTTAAAAATCTACAATACTATGTTTTTCGAATCGTGATAATTTTGCTTTCTCTTTTTCATCCTATGTTAAATGATTGTATTAGGGTGCACATTTTTTAAGTTTTGGTCTGGCTTTAATAGTTACATAGGGTTTTACCACTAATTGTGATGCTTTGGGTTAGGAGTAATAGTATATAGCTAATTATTTCAAGAAAGTGAGCCATTTGAGTTGCTTTTGAATTTTTTCTTTTAATAAGTGGATATTGAATTTTAGAAAATACTGTTGAGTAAGTAATAAGATGCTTGGCCTGGTGGTTCCCCATCTGACTATTAATATGGTCAGTGATATCACTGTATCCTCCAGGGTTCCTTTGACATTGTAGGAGCTTCACTTTCCTGTCCATCGCTATGGTCTTGGGCTGCTCCTGGTACATTTTCAGAGATTTGCATATCATCTACTCACTGAGGGAAAGCTACCTTCCTCTCAGTGTGTTGGTCACTCTCGTGGCTGCCTGCCACAGGCCAGGATTTATGACTGTGGAGGAATAGCAAGTGAGCTGACAGGCAGAGGATGCAGGGTGGTGACGGGATTTGGAGGTGTGGCAGACCTGAGGGTAGACCAGTGTCTATCATTCCTGACCTGAGGGATGGTCCATATCCATTAGCCCTGACTAGAAAATGAATCTGTGTCCATCAGCCCTGACCACAAGGAGGATCTGTGTCCCTTAGTACCTGACTTGAGGGTGAACCTGTCCTTCAGTCCCTGACCTGAGGGTAGACTTGTGTGGATCTGCCCCAACAGGAGGGTGGATCCACGTCCATCTCCGCTGGCTTAAGGCTGGACATGTGTCCATCAGCCCTGACCTCAAGGTGGACCTGTGTCCATCAACTCTTCACGTGAACTCTCAGAAGTGTCAGACCAGGGAGCAGTTGACACTGGCCACTGGTCTTCCGAACAAGCCCAACCCAGTGACTACGGGGGACTCAAGTCAGGGTCTGCTTGTCTGTGTGGTAGCCTGAATGGGCAATGGAAAAGCTACTGGGCGCAGCAGAGACTTGCACTGGCAAGGACTCTGAGCATGGTTTCCTCATTATCTCCAGCCTCAGGGCAAAGGTTCCCCCTTGAGTATGGGAGATTTTACCTGGAATCATCCCTTTAAATGGAATCATACAGTATGTGATCTTTGAAATTGGCTTTTTCTTCACCCAACATTATGATCTTGGGATCCACCCAAGTTGTGTGTGGTAATAGTGCCTTCCTATTGCTGAGTAGTCCTTCATGGTGTGGGGAGAACACCGTTTGTTTAGCCATTCGCCTGTTGAAGGACATTTCTGTTTCCAGTATTTAGCTTTTACAAATAAAGCCACTGTAAATGTTGTGCAAAATTTTGTGTGCACATACATGCTAACTGTTCTAGGATAGATGCCCAGATGTGTGATTGATGGGGTCATGTTTAGATTTTTTTTCACAAACTGCTGAACTGTTTTCCAGAGTGTCTGTTTTATATCCCCATTCTCAGTGTTTGAAGGACCCAGCTCCTCTGCTTCTGCACCAGCAGATTTGGTGTTCTCTCTCTCTCTCTTAAATGTCGCTGTTCTGCTAAGTATGTAGTGATAACTCACTGTGATTTTATTTTTGCATTTCATGGTGGCTGAGGATGTTGAACATCTTTTCATGTGCTCATTTTTTTATCCATGTGTTCTTTTGCCCTTTGGTGAACTGTCTCTTCATGTCTTTTGTCTGCTTTCTAATTGGATTGTTTGATTTTTTGTGTGCTGTTCATTTTTGAGAGTTCATGATATATTCTACAAATGAGTCTTTTGTTAGAGATGTGGTTTGCAATTATTTTCTCCCAGTCTCTAACATGTCTTTTCATCATCTCAACAGGGTCTTCTGTTCTGTCTCCCAGAACAGATGTTTTCAGTTTTGAAGATAACCAATTTATTGATTTTTCTCTTTTATGAATCATGTTTTTGGTGTCATATCTAAAAACCTTTTATATAACCCAAGTCCCAAAATTTTAACATACATTTTACTCTAAGAGTCTTATAGTTTTACATTTAATAGTTAAATCTATGATCCATTTTGAGTTCATTTTTTAATAAGGTGTAAGTTTCACTTATTTTTTAGGTTTTATTTTTGCTTGTGGATATCTGGTTGCTCTAGCACCATTTGTTGAGAAAGTATCCTTCCCCCATCGAATTGCTTTTGTACTTTTGTCCAAAGTCAATTGGCTATACTTACGTGAGGCTATTTCTGGGTTCTCTATTCTGTTCCATTTATCTATTTATCTGTCTGTCTGCCAACACCATACTGTCTTGATTAATGCAGTTATGTAAGTCTTAAAATCAGGTAGAGTGATTCTTCTTGCTTTATTGTTTTAAAGAAAAGTGGGCTATTCTAGTCCCCTTCCCTTCTGTTTGCATGAATGTGGCTATGCCTCTTCATTTATTTAGATTTCCTTTGATTCCTTTCATCAGCATTGTGAGGTGTTCAGCATATGAGACCTTGCCATGTTTTGTTACATTTACACCTTGTATTTTAATTTTCTCAGTGATTATAAGTGATACCACATTTTAATATTGGTCCTCCTTTTTTCATCACTAGTGTAGAGAATGCCATTTTTTATGTTTATCTTTTATCCTGTGAAACTCACTGATTTGTTCTGGGGTGGGTGGTGTCCTTTGGGGTTTCTTTCTGCCTTATTTATCCCAGACTAGAAACCAGAGAAGCTGGCAGCCAAAAAATGCCATTGGATGCAGACCAACTTTTTAAAAGCCGCCCCTCCCCCCAAAAAAAAGACCAGTTCTTTCTAGGCAAAAAAAAAAAAAAAAAAAAAAAAAAAAAATGGGGCAACCTAGCAAAACAGAAAACTTTTAGACAGCAACCACCCTATCATAGCCAAAGACTGTGAAAAAGAATCTGTGGCCCCAGTTCCACCCAGGCCAGCAAATACCATGTGGGGAGCCTCAACTTTCATCTTTATTAGGCTGTGAGGAGGCACACCAAGGCCCCACTGACATAGTGCCACAGTGCCAGACGAACCTCAGTAGAAGTGGAGATGTTCATCCGCATTGAGTAGTAATGAGCTCCCACTTGTATTGTCAGTGGAGGCCTAACGAGGACTCTGAACGTCCGTATCTACTCAACAGTAACAAGGTGTGTGGTGTCACCTTGTGCCAAGCGTCAGGTTGTCATGGAGGAGGAGTGGGAAACCTAGAATTCTACCCACACTGTCCCAAGCAACACCACCCACCCCACACTGTTTTCCTTTGAGTCACAAGGTCCCTGAGGTCACCCTCTTCTTTCCACGTTTCACAGCCTATGCGTTTATTTTATTTTATGTTGTCAGTGTTTTTACCACTCAGTAGGAATAAAAACAAGTGTGTTCATTTCATCTCTTCTGGAACCTCATGGCTAGCCTCTTGTAATACTCTTATTTTCTTCTCAAATGTATTAAGTACCAGAGGTCCTGTTTATGAAGCACTGATAGTGAGCTCATGGAAAGTGGTTTTAAATTAGACTCTATTTTTCTTTTGGCAAATGGTTGCTTTCTTGTATCCCTCATGTGACATATGGAAGCTGTGGAGGGGAGGCTCACTCTCTGTTCCCGTCAGCCCTGGCCAGAGTAAGAGATTGGTGAAGCCACTTCTTTTGCCACCGTTTGTCTCTCTTAGAAGGAGGGGGTTGGACTCCTGTTCTTGTAACTCTGGGGCATCTCTTTCTGCACGTGTTGGGGTTTTATGAATTTTGGAACCTGCTCTTACTGGGCGCTGTTCTCCCCACTGCACACGTGTTTAATCACATAACCATTGCTGCCGTACCATCACACAGGGGCCACAAAACCCCCATTACAGGTGTGGGAACCCCAGCACTGACTGCCAAGATGACTCACCTGCCATCTCACCACTAGCAGGGCAAAGCCATTATTATTAAATCTCGGATTCCCAAACCTGACCCCAACCTGCCCTGGATCAGGCTGGAGGGAGGGTACGAGTGCTTTTCTTCAGTAAGTGGAGAATTTGATGATATATTTTTTTTTATTTCCATGGTGGCTCCAGCGGAGGGCATTAAGAACAGCCTCGGAAAAACTCAGAAACCGCTCATCTTTTTCCACCAACGTTGTCTACACCACCCCGGGCACTCGTGTCAACAGGTACATCAGCCGCCTCTTAGAAGCCCGCCAGACAGAGCTGGAGATGGCAGACCTGAACTTCTTCACCCTGAAGTACAAACATGTTGAACGGGAGCAAAAGGTAAGCAACTCTGGTTTTCGGCTTCCCTGGTGCTGCTTGCGAAGGCGCTACCTGGCTGGAGGAAGCCCTCAGCCCTGATGGGTTGAATTCTCTCTCACACAGTACCACCAGCTTCAGGACGAGTATTTCACCAGCGCTGTTGTCCTCACCCTCATCCTGGCTGCCTTATTTGGCCTTGTCTACCTTCTAATAATCCCGCAGTGAGTGTTTCTATTCACAAGGTGGGGAGCTCACCAAGAAGTCCCGGTTTCTGGGGTTCACGTTTGTATTTCTGTTGTATGCTCAAGCTTGGTCTCCGACAATTACTGTCCCAGTGTGCCCAACGTTTCAGGGAAGACATTAGCCACCCAACATTTCCTCATGTTCTCAAGTCAGTGGTGTAACAAGCCTTGATGTCATACAGTGTGGGAATGATCACTTTCCATTTAAAATTTTGAATTGACTCAATTCTAAGACCCCATATATTTTCATGTTTCCTCATCCATGTAACATGCACCATTGCTGTAATAGTAGCTTTTGGCCGGTTGCAGTGATTCATGCCTGTAATCTCAGCACTTTGGGAGACTGAAGCAGGAGGATTATTTGAGGCCAGTAGTTCAAGACCAGCCTAAGTAATATAGCAATAGTGTATCTCCACCCACCCCCCCAAAAAAAATTAGCCAGGCATGGTAGCACTTGCTTGTAGTCCCAGCTACTCAGGAAGCTGAGGCAGGATGATTCCTTGAGCTCAGGAATCTGAGGCTGCAGTGAGCTATGATCTCACCACTACACTCCAGCCTGGATGACATAGGGAGAACTTCTCTCTAAAAAAAATAATAATAATAACAACTTTTGAGAAGAAACTGCACTGAATGAGCTCATTGGCATTTAAATAACATTTAAACATCATATAAGTCAATGTGAGTTTGGCAGCTTTTTTTTTTTTTTTTTGGCAAGAAAGACAACACTAAGTCTGCATTTGCCACTTGACTTCCAGATATACTAACTTCTTAATAAAACTTACCAACTGAATACTGTCTCCTCTGAGTTTGAAAGCACATGGAGGTCACCCCGTAACTGTGGAGGAGGAGGAAGCTCAGCCCCGGGTGCTCTGCATTCTGCCCAGCCCTCAGACACTGAACACGACAGCCTGCCTCATGGCTCTATTTGGGATTCAAGCATTTTCTAAAAATGTCCTTCCCAGACAAAGCCCAGCAGAGAACAGCTCAGCAAAGTCTGGGAAACTCGTCTTTCCATCATGAGGAAAAGGGCTTCCAGAAAAGTTCTGTCTCAGCCTATCCTAGATCTCTGTGGTGGGGTAGGAGAAGTGGGAGGTAGACTGAGGAGGGGCCCCCTTCTCACCCAGGAACCCCAGATGCCCTACCCTAAAAAAGAGAACCAGCCTCGGCAGTCCCCAGAGACCCAAGTGGCAGGCATCCAGGTTAACGATGCTGCTTCCTCCTGAGGGCAAAGGGGATATGGAGGGAGGGGCCAATTCTCAGGTGTCTCTTGGGTCCACCTCTCCCAATCCCCATCTATCAGTGACTCTCATGTTTTCTGTCCCCCAGGAGTGTGGCCGTCTTGCTCCTGCTAGTATTCTGCATCTGCTTCCTGGTGGCCTGCATCCTGTACCTGCACGTCACCCGGGTCCAGGTATGTGGGTGGCCTGTGTCCTTTATCTGTACATCACCTGGTCCAGGTGTGTGGGTGG